AGCATCATCCATGTAGAAATCGGACACGTCAAATTTAGGCAAAATTGGATTGATATCATCAGCATAATTAGCTTCCACATTTTTTCCTTTTCCTTTTGTGGAAGCCTGGTATAATTTAACCAAATGTTTTGCCGTTCGACATTCACTCGCCCAGTGTCCTTTTATGCCACATTTGTAGCATTCACCACTTGGTTTTGGCTTTTCATAAGTTTTAGCCTGTGGTGGTTTGAATTTTCCTTTTCCTTTGCAGGATGATCCATTTGGATTTTTATAGCCCCTGTTCGGTCCTTTGTTGCGGTTATATCCGTTCCACGTTTAAAGTGTCCGCGAGCACCACCTTGGATAACATTTGATTCTGGTGCTGAACCACGATCCGGATTGCCAAAATTTGTAGGGGTATAACCGGTGGGCCTCATGTTGTGATTTTTCATCAACAGCTCATTATTCTGCTCAGCAACAAGTAATACTGAGATTAACTCAGAATACTTTTTAAAGCCCCTTTCTCTGTATTGTTGTTGCAATATCACATTTGACATATGCATGGTGGAAAAAGTTTTCTCCAACATGTCATGATCAGTGATATTATGTCCACATAATTTTAATGTGGACGTAACTTTGAAAATAGCAGAATTATAGTCACAAACGGACTTAAAATCTTGGAATCTTAAATTAATCCATTCATATTGAGCTCTTGGCAATAGGACCTTTGGTTGATGTCCGTATCTCTCTTGGAGATTATCCCATAATTCCTTCGGATCTTCCACCAATAAATATTCAGATTTTAAACTTTCATGAAGGTGGTGGCGAAGGAAAATTATAGCTTTTGCCTTTTGCTGAGATGATGATGTATTATTCTCAGCAATTGTATTTTCGAGGCCATTAGCCTTAAGGTGAGCAAGTGCATCAACCCTCCATTCCAGGTACCTTTGACCGGATAAATCAAGAATGTCGAATTCTCTTTTGGTGATGTTGGCCATGAAATAACTACAAGATAAATTAAATTTATTATTATTTAAAACACATAGGAATCTCTAATCAAAGCTAGGAGAATGATTTTTTTTTTTAAACGTAGTATATGCAATTTTCATAAAGTCATAATTTATTTACTCAATGTTTTATCCCTTATTTTAAAAGAATCTTTTGACTATAATGCAATAGACAACAAGACAAAATATGTATGAGTAGTCCATGTGAAGAACATCAAAAATGTTTGCTCAGAAGATTCCATTTATCAAATACAAAGCAAAAAAAACAAGGGTAATAAAATAAATCACATTGAAATAAAAATGATAAATTTGAATTCTCTATATTAGCCCTTTCTGCGTAAGATCTTATCACTTACTCTCTCTTTATTCTCTCATTCTCTTACTTAGCCATACGAAAATAAAAAAATATGGTCCAAGGGAGCATCAGAATATCAGAAAAATTAGAGGCAGAGCAAAACCAAACTTGCTATATAAAAAATTAAATTACTCCGTAAGTCTTCTATGTTCGGTTTTTAGCTAAATTACATATATTTCTTTCACATCTTATATTTTAAGACTAGTTTAAAAGATAAAGTTATGTTTTATTTTTCAATCATAGCTACTCAATATTAAGTTCTATTATTTATTCCAGTTTATCAAAAATATGATTTTCTAGGATTATGAGGAAATTTCTTCCTTTTAATTATCTAATTTTATTTTATTTTTTTATAACTATAAGTTTCTGATGTGAAGGATCCCAATTTTGGGCAATCACAGAGCATACTTCTCATAGTTTTAAGAAAATATTTTGGTTTGTTTATGAAGAAAATTAAATAAATATACCTTCTGAGAAGAACAATGACTCTGGGATTTTGAGCAAATTCGTGCTGATAACGTGTTAAAAATGAGAGAAAAACTACTCAAAGATTATGAGAATAGATATAATATATTTCTGATTTCTTCTCTCTATTAACTCTTCACTCTTCTTCTTATTCTTAATGGTAATTTACAGGGATCCTAAGCCTCTTATTTATAGTAGAGAGGCTTAGTCCTAACACTATTACAAATAGTATACATACTATACAAATGACAGCTTGATGGTGATGAATGATGATGGACAATTTGTTCCTGCAACTTATGATGGAGCATGACCTAATTAATTGATAAATGAACAATTCATATTTTTCTTAACACTTATCACGTTTTTTGTTTGTGAACTTATTTTTGTGACATATCACACTCTCTCTCTCTTAGAATAATATTCTTGCACAGTTTATGAATTTTAATCAAAGATATTTTTAAATCAATATAATTAAAAATTAATTTAGAAATAAAAATCATAAATTAAAATAACATCAAAAGTTCAACAAAGAAAGTATGACAAAATTATTTTATTTAATCAAATGATCGATCAAAATGTATAATAAAATAAGTATATTTAGTTTGGCCAATAAATAGTACCTGGGAGTTGTTTTTCCGTGATGGAGTACTAGTTATGTTATATTTGTGTAATTCACATTCACTTGTATAGTTGTATACTCCCTCCGTTCCCATAAGATCTTCTCATTTTGACTTTTTGTATTTTAAAAAGAGTTTAAAAAATATAAAAGTTTACCAAAATATCCGTAATAAAAATGAATGAAATATATTAAATGAGGTGGGTGAAATGTAATAAATAAAGATGGAGTAGTTGTAGCATTTTAAAAGTTAAAAAAAATAATGAGAAGATCTACGAGAACAAATAAAAATATTAATGGGAAGATCTATAAGGCAGAGGAAACACTATCTTATTTTTAAACATTGATATATACATTGTATTACATAATTGAGCCCCCCTTCCATTGACAAGTGACAACAAGGGGTATTGTCCTAATATAACAACAAATTCAATCAAAGTACCTACGGTGCTACGATCATAAAATTGATGGTTCCTAACCATCTTAATTCTCCGGGAAACCCTCCCCTCATCCCAGGCCGCCACGAACTTATCACCCCAACCCCTTCAATTATATTTCTCAAATTTATTTGACTCTTTGGTCAAAAAAATTGACCTAACAGTCAAGTAAAATTGGGAATAAAATTGAAAGGATTGGGGGAAAATTCAGGGCAGACCGAGGTGGGGGTTCTCCGAGGGATAAGAACTATCAATATTACGTTCGAAGCATCGTAGGTACTCTGATTAGAGTTGTTGTAATGTTATAACATTAAGGGTGGAGTTCTCATGACATTGGAATCCAATGTCATGGGATGACTCGGGGGCGCTCTCGTGCCCCGTTCGTAAAATTGACGGATTCTACCCCCCTGGTAAACCCCCCACCCTGTCCCGACCCAAACACACCCCCTACCCCCGTCAATTGCACCCCACAAGTTGATTTTGACTTTGGAGTCAAGTTCCAAAGTCAAAATCAACTTGTGGGGTGCAATTGACGGGGGTAGGGGGTGTGTTCGGGTTAGGGCGGGGTGAGGGCTTACCGGGGGTAGGGGGTAGAAACCGTCAATTTTACGAATGGGACACCAGAGCGCCCCCGAGTCATCCCATGACATTGGATTCCAATGTCATGAGAACCTTGGTGTAACATTAATATTTGTTGTCAGAAGATAGAAGGCGTACATAATTTTAGTTTTATTAATTTTTGTGTTACTCTAGCCTCTAGAAATAGTGGGGCGGATGAAGTTTCTCATTAAGAGCAACTCCAATGGGAGAGGTAAATGAAGAGGTAAGATACCATAATTGCCATATTTGCCTTTTCTTCACACAAATCAAACCTTCAATGGAGAAGGTAAATCAAAAGGTAATTTACCTTCTTCTATTTTGGAGAGATGTCTTTACCTCCCCAAATACAAGAGGTAAAATGTTTGATGCCAAAGCCAAGTAATCTCCGGTGCATCGTCGATCTCCTATTTTCAAAATTAGACGGAATTGTGAGATATGAAATTAAGAAACAAATGGAGTGAAAGAGGAGTGAAGATAGAGTTTTGTATTTGGGGACGAGGGAGACAAAAAAGCAACCATGCAGAATGGCACTCGGGACTCGTCTCTTCCCCTTGTGCGGCTACTATGATTGCCTCAAATTAATCTCCCGAGTCATTAATCTAAAATTTGTAGAAAAGGAACATTTGACAAGAAATTAAAAAGAAATAAATTTTGAAATTAACTCTAAAATGTCTTTAAATTTGGGAAAAGTATGTTTACCTTTTCTAATACCCTCCATCCATTCGAATCAAATAATTTTTTAGAAGGTATAATCACCTTTTTGAGAAGGTAAAAGAGTAGAATACCTTCTTTTTTGCCTTCTTCCTTTGGAGTTGCTCTAATAGGGAGTACTATCTTATTTTGTCCTTCATTTTTAGGGCATAGTTTGGTGAGCCATCAAAATATGGAACTTCATTTCGGAGATATTACTCCCTCCGTCCTATAATGATCTTCCCAATTCGCAAAACGAAGAAAAATCCCAAGTTTTTTCAATCTATTTTATTTAAATATTGGTATAGAAATAAAAAATAAAACATACATATTTAAAAACTATATCAAAAGTTCAACAAAACAAGTGGTGACAAGAATATTTTATTTTATCATATAGGCAATGAAAAAACATAAATAAATATAAATTCCCATGAAGTTGGAATAGTGCTCTGAGAAGATCATTATAGGACGGAGGGAGTAATTTTCTTAAAAAAAATGTTTGGTGAACTAGAAAAGAAATCCATATTTAATCTGAAATTTAAAATTTCATGGAGGTCAGTGGAAATCACCAAAAAAAATAAGATATGCAAACAAGTCGAACACCAATGTTGCTGAGAGGAATGTTGGAGCACTATCACAATAACAGATGACAGACATAATGTTATCTAGGGAGATGCAACAACACAAATACTCTCTACATTAGTGAATATTTGTCCACTTTGACTTTTTCGGTCAAAATTGATGACATTTGACTTCAATTTACATAAAATGATATTAGTTAGTCATACAAAAGTAGTTTTATTAGAATTATTATATCAAATATTTTCAAAATATTATTTTATCTAATTAATATATAATATATATTTTATTTAATTATAGTTCAAAGGTTAAAAAGAGTTGACAAAAAATCAAAATTGGATAAATACTCAATGACGGATGTAGTACTCGTATTTTGTAAAAAAAAAGTGAGGTTGAAGGGAGAGAGAAAGAGTACGTTGGGAAAGGGGAAAAGAAAACTATGACTTAAATATAGAGAAGCATCAAAATAGGATCCTCAAAGTACGAGTACAATATTAATAATGTCAATATATAATGCCAAAAAATCCACGGAACGCCACTATATAGTGAAATAATGTCAAAGTGCAAACGTGGACCAATTTTGAGCATAAAAATTTAAAACTCCTATTTGGAGGATAAATATTATATTTACTTTTATTTTAAGTGATTTTTTTGGGGAAAGATTGGTGAGGAAAAAATTCCTCATTATTAGAAATGTTCTAGTAAGGTGTAAAATCGCATTTTTAAATTATTTTATTCAAAAAATTATAATGCAATGGAAATAAAAGTACAAATTACATACTTAAAAATTAATCAAAAATTTTACAAAACAAAATACATCAAGTATATTTTATTTTTATCAAATGATTAATAAAAACATATAAATAACAATAAAAGTTCTCGGGAGAATAAATTTGATAAAGATAACATTCCCAAAGAAAGAGAAATGTGATTGGCAAGTGTGCATGGGACTCTCGTTTTATCATTTTCTTATTTTGCTCTTTATTGTGATCCTAAGACCATGTGTTATGAGGGTTTGACGAAGCTTGATGAAGTGACACGTAGGCACCCCGTAAGCGGTTGGATATGAGTAAAAAATGTTTATGGAGCTTGAAAGAGGGCGTGAAGAAAAATGATGGAGTGAAGATGTGAATTATTTTGATTATTTGGAATGAATATGCAATGCGTTAAATTTTGATTAGTTGAAAAAAAATTAAAAAAATAATATTAGTAGGAGAAGGCCACCACGCAATGATGGCTATTATAGCCAAAGGGGCAACGCCCCTTCACGCCGAGTATAGCATAGTAAAGGGGGGCAGGAGGGCTGGTAACGCTTTTTGGGCACACCCTATAACAGATGGTCTAAGAACCACATATAAAATGTAGATGTTATCATATATTTTTTATGAGCTCATAGTTGGAAATTTTTTTATTTTACAAGCCGTATTACATAAAATCATTTTATATATAAAGGTCCATAAAATGAGATGGATTTAAGAAACACAAAGAATTGCTTTTGTTGTTAGTTCATCTTTGTTTTAATTTCTTCTCTTTATCAAGTGTTGTTTTTTAATACAAAAAACACCCATTGGTGGCGTGGGATGAAGTTTGTTTACCAAAAAAATATGGTGGATTGGGGATTAAGAATTTAATACAATGGAATAAAACAAGCATCATGAGGCTGATATATAATATAGAACAACAAAAGGAAAGTTTGTGGATCAAATGGGTGCATGGAAGGTATTTGAAGGAAAATACAATTTGGGAGTGTGTAACTAAGAATGACTCCTATTTTTACTGAAAAAAACTACTACAAATGAGGGGCAACTTCGTAGGGATTGTAAAGTCTGGCCAGTACTCCCCAATTCAGGGTTACACATGGCTTCAGGGGCAACAAAGAGAACCAAACTGGACTGTTGTTGTATGGAATAAGTATTCCATACCCAAACACAAGGTCATCATGTGGCTCATATGCAAAGAAAGAATACAAACAAAGAAGAGACCGAGTAAGTTGTTTCCCATTGATACTACTTGTACTTTTTGTGATGAAGGGGAGGACTGTCTGTAACGCCCCAAAACATACCCTAGAATTATTAATGAAAAATTATTCAATTAATCAAATTTACTTTAATTAAAATAAATTCTTGTTGGGCTTTGGGCTGAAGTAAAAAATGTTCTGATATCCAATTTCATAATTTGGATAAATCTCATAGAGACAAACCCAATATATTGACTTACTGTGTGACCTTGATTGGGAACCTGAGTACAGTCCCAAATCAAGAATAAATGAAGAAATTAATTATGATGCGAACTTTGTAATTGAATTAAATCATGAGAATAATTGATATGAATTAAATGAGAGAACCTTTTATGAGAAGGGAAAAGAACTGAAATAGCACTACTGTATATGATTTAATACCTATTTAGCACTACTCCGGAAATAATTATTTCTGCCATTTTGGCGGATGCTAAATTCCGGTTTTGTCCCTGGGTATTAAATAGGTGGGTAATTGATTTGAACGTGGCAGTGGGTTTTCACGATTCTTGAGGACGGCTATTCAGGCGCCAAATTCACTATCATAGGTTGTTGCATACGCCCCGATTTTTGAGGTCAGAGATTTAGCCGGTTGTTTCGCACTTCCAAAATTATAATCTAGAAACATGAAGTGTGCAGAGATTGGGAACCCTGATAGTCCTCAGCCGGTGAGGAGACGCAGTCTGAGAATTGCAATGGCGAAAGATGTAGCTTTGCACACTGGTGGACAAGCAGTGTCAGCGGAGGATGAGCTGGATGAAGTTCCGCTTATTAAGCGAATGGAGAAGGTTCAGGTATGGTCTGTCATTTCGTGTGTGTAATGTTAGGCGACTTAAGATTGAATTTTGGCAGTATACATGTCCGTGTTTTGGCTTCAAATCTGAGGGGGTTGGGGATTTAAGAGTTATTTTGAAATTTGGTGGTTTCTGGGATTTCAAATTTTTACCAGAGCTGTGCAACGCCGGAATTTAGCTTTCAAAGAGTTGTTGAATATTGTAGCTGAACATTTTTTTTGTTGGTTTTTTGAGTCTTGCAGTGAGTGGTGGTTTTTTAATTTTTCTTTCTCATGTACAGATGTATTTAATTACTTCCCCCCTGAACCCAATTGTTTTCGCATATTGCAGTGTGTTGTTTATTTGGTGGGGCTTCCTTTTCCTGATTGATAAGCTTTTTGTCATAAAATTGAGTATGTAGATAGGCACGATGTTCAGTTCAGAGTGGGTTTTGCGCTCAATTTTTTGAAGTTCACATATTCCAGTGTGTCGTTATATTGTTTGGATGTGTGGGGGTGTGAATAATATTGTTGATGTGGGGTGTGTTTGTTTTTTTCTTGTTTATGGTGTGTGTCATGTTGTGGAAGTGTCTGTGGGTGTAGCCACTTAGAGGTGTTGGTGGTGTTCTTGTAAATGGCATTGGGGTTTTTTTTCTTTGCTATTTTGAAAATGGTGGATGTGATCCTAACATTTCTAATGGCTTTTTGGGACAAATACATTTTTTTATGTTAAAAGGGTTTTTTCAGATACTCCCAATATTTAGGTGAAGTTTTGTTTTCATTTTTTTTTGGATTATCCAAACTTGTTTGGGTGCATTGATTGTAATGAGTTTTGGATGTGTGCTCTAATGTGGAAGTTTAGGTGGTTGTTGTGTTGTAGTGTTGTGTTTGGCACTATGGGCTTTTCCTATTTGTGGCATTAGAAGTTAATTTTAGTGGGTGCATTGCTATATTCTTTGTCTTCGGATTGCATTATGGTGGTCTGCTTGACTGGTATATGTATATATGTGGCAGTGGGGGATTGGATTTTGGATTTGATTTCACATTGCATTATGTGTGTCTGCGTGATTGGTACATGAATATTTGTGGCAGTGGGAGATTGTTTATTGGGAGATACTGTGTCTTTGGGAAATGTGGGATTACTGGCTGTCATCATTTTAGTGGTCTATAGTCTGTTCTTTGTATCTGGCAGTGTAACATGGTTTTTGTGTCATTTGATAGATCAAAAATGTTACCAACATTGGGTATTAGGTGTTGGTGTGTTCTGCAGACACCTTCTCAGTGTTTGATTTATTTCATGTCTATCGTGTGTTAACATTTTGGGGCAGTTATTTTTGTGATGTGCTTATGTCTGGTTTGTACATTGTATAGGACGCGCAACGGTTGGGTAAGGGTGGTTGACTTGATGGGTGAATTTAAACACACTGCAATGTTAATGAGGTTTGAAGGCAGATTAAAACGAAACTAAGTCAGTAGGAGGTTAATAGGTTCAGGGCTTCGGCGTTGTGTGGTTCGTTGTGAGAGTGTGTGTGGTTGTTGTGAATGAGATAGTGTGGTGTTTTCGTTCATGTGGCAGTGGAAGGTTTTTTTCTGTGGAAATTTTGCATTATAGCGCTGATATAACATTCCATTTTCGTTGGTTTTTTTTTTAATGTGATTAAATGTGGCATTGAGAGTTTGCTGGGGTAGTTTTGTATGGTTTTTGGTATCATGGTATTACTGGCTGACTTTTGTTTTAAGTCGATGGTTGTGTTGTCTATTACTTTTTGGCAGTGGGCTTTTTTTAATGTTGTTTGTTTTGGTTAGGTGGTAGTGTATTCAATGTTGGGCAGTCGGTGTTTCCTTGGTCATACAGACATCGACCACATCCCTGTTTATTTTAGATCTGTGTCTAGCCTACATTGGCAGTTTTTGTTGGTTTTTTTTGTTCTTACGAATGAATTATGCATTGTGTAGGAAGTGCAGAGGTTAGATAGAGGCGGCTTACTTGATGGAAGGATTAATACATACTGCAATGTGAATGAGGTCGTAAGACAAATTAGGGCGAAACTAAATCAAGAGGAGCTGGACAGATTTAGGACTTCAACTTTTGGGGTGCTTTTAGATGTTCTGGATTGTCCATGGATCAGTGGGCAATTGCTCATCCATTTGGTAGGGAATTGTGTGTGGTCTACTGATGAAAGTGGAAGGAAGGACAAGTTAAAATTCAAGATCCTTGGTAATGAGGTGGTTTTGACGAAGGGGCAGTTTCATTTGATTACCCGTTTAAAGATGGGCGGACGCAGGGGGTTAATGGAAAATGGTGTGGGGGGGAGGTTCGCGGCACGATATTTTGAGTCCAGTAAATCAGTTAAGCGAAATGAAATCACCAAAGCATTCTTAAGGTTTAATCGCGATGCGGAGGGGACAATGCCGAGTGACGCGCCGAAGATGTTGTTGATTTACGCTTTGGCAAACACGTTTCTAGGTAACCAGCCTTCGGTTAATTTACCCATGCATTATTTGAGTTTGGTTGATGACATAAAGGAGTTTAATAGCTACCCTTGGGGGGATGATGTGTGGTCGGAGACATTCCCATCGCTAGTCGAGGCTGGGATGTGTGTCTTGGATTCTAAGCGGGTGAATTCGATACCCCAGTGTCTGCGATGGAAGGTCTATGCAAAGTTTAACTCTTCGAAAGTTTCTGACGCTTTTTTCAAATCTGGGAAGGTTAGATGTTTTGTGTTTGTTTTATTTTTTGTTGTTTTTTGTACTAAATGCTTTTTATTAATAAAGTTTTGTTCCAATTCCAGCTTCATGTTAAAGATGTTGAGCTAACGGGTGATGAGTTGTTGTTGGATAATGTGAAAGAGCTTTTTAAGGATAAACCCACCACTGCAGTGAAGGCCAGAAAGAAGTTGTCACTTAGCCTTTCGAAGCGTGTTCGAAAGGTTAAGGAAAGGCAGGTGAATATACGCGATGCGTTTGTTAGGCTGAAAACTGAAGGGAAAGCATCTGGAAGTAAGTTGAAGTCCGCAGTTAAAAGGGGTGGAACGGGCAGTGTCAAAGAAGAACATGGTGCGGTGGAGCGGGAGCATAAAGGGAAGAAGGTGTGTGTGGCAAATACGGATAGTGAGCAGTTGGATATGATGAAGGAAATCAAGGAGATCAAGGAAAACCAGGATGCGCAGGCCAAGAAACTGGATGAAATCTTAGGCATTCTTCGGCAAAAAAACAGTGTCTGTTGAAGCCGGCTCAGCGTCTGGGAAAGGGTCTTTGATGGGAGGTAATGAAGAACCTAGGGTCCGGAATGAAGGAATCACTGTTGAGGGGAGTACAGATGCTGAGTGTAAATGTGGGGTTGATCTGGATTTGAGTTGTGACGATGGGGGGCCATCATTTGATCTTTTAACTCCATTGCCTAGAGTGGATGCAGTTGGTGCTGAAATACGAAATGACAAGAGTGGAAATGTTTTGGTGACAGAAGCGTGTGATCGAGTAAAGGAGGGGAAGTGTCCAGATATTCCATACACTGAGACACAATATGATCCACGCTTCCTGGATCTTACTGACAGGCAGGAAGAGATGATCCTAAAGTCTTTACAGAACGTAAGCAGTGTAATGTGTTTTTTTATGTATTTCAAGGGATTATTTTATTTGATATAATGATTTTGGCCTTATAAATGTGTGGAATGACAGGTTCCTTTGGTTTCTTGCGAAGGGATTGTTGGGCAGGATGCGATTCAGGGTGGGTGCAAGACAAGTGTGAGTGGTGATGATACTGCCAAGAAATCCAGTAACACTACAATGCCGGACGATGTGCATGTACCAGTGGAGGTTGAGTCCACATTTGGGGTTAGTTTTCTGTGTTCCTATATTTGGGAAGGGACTAATAATTGCTCTTTCCAGTGATTTAGTTTTTTTCCAAGATGTTTTAGGGTCAATAACATTTCCCTTTAGTGTGATTTTATATGTGACGTTGTATGTTTTCAGGGGTCCAGTGGTTCAAACAAGGGGAAACTTGGGCAGCACATCGATGGAGGCAAACGTAGACGTAGCTTGGATGATGATGATTTTGAAAGAATTTTTACTAGCATCCGGGTGGGAAGTGGGGGACAAGGAGTGAATGGTGCTCAAGATGCTTTGGTGGTTAGTGTTTTTGCAATATTTATAATGGGTCGTTTACTTGTCTTTTTAGGTTGAAGAATTTCATTACTTTGCAGATTAGTGTTATGGCAGTGTGTAGTGTCCTATCTGGTGTTTTTTCCCTGAAACGGGTGTGGTTTTATTGTTTATTCAGGTGTTTTCCATGGCTTCAGATTCCAATACTGAATGTGTTGAGATTGAACGTCCCAAAAGGGTTCACAAGAATCCGGAGAGATATACTCCCACAGAGGTCGAGCATGATAAGAAAAAGCGGAAGCTCGGGAGGTTGGAGTGTGCTAAGCAACATCTGAATCATGATAGCCCGGTTGTATGCCATGGGCCCTTTTCAGAAGATCCAAAGGTGATGCCTACGAATGGGGAAATAGAAAAGGTGAGAGAGTTTTTGAATGAAGTCCTGCTGAAAAGGCAGGGAAGGGGGAATAGGACATGTCGGTATACAAGTAAGGTGGATAACATGACAAAAAAAGTCCAATTGTCCTTGATGGTTTTACAGTGGAGAACAAAACATGGATCTATGAGTTGTTTTCGAACACAGAGTGGTTGCGCAGCACGGTATGATTTAGATTATCTTTTGTTATGGTTGTTTATTCTGAGACCGTATGTGAAATAGTCTGTGGGGGGGTGTGGTTTGTTGTAATGTCAGGGGCATTCGAGGGGGTTAATAGAATGGTGTGGCTGGTGTTTTTTTGATGCATATTAAGGTGTTTTTATGTGTTTTTTTGTTGTTATTAATGTGGCAGTAAGGTGGTGTCTTTATTAGGTACTTTGGCATTGTTATGGGATGGGTTAGTAATTGCTTTGGGTAGTGGTTTGTTGTAATGTCGGGGACATTCGAGGGGATTAGTAGAATGGTGTGGCTGGTGTTTTTTGATGCATATTAAGGTGTTTTTATGTGTTTTTTAGCTGTTATTACTGTGGCAGTAAGGTGGTGTCTTTATTAGGTACTTTGGCATTGTTATGGGATGGGTGAGTAATTGCTTTGGGTAGTTTGAGTTTAGTGAGTGAAGAATGTTTTCAAAAAAGCACAGGGGGAGGGGGGGGGCGGTTTTTTCTTTGGTATATATTGGCTCTTGTTTTTTTCCATTTTGTGGCAGGTCATTGTGCGGCATAGTTGTGGGTGATTGTATCTGGAAGTGTGGTCTGTATGCATTTTAGGCCGTTCCAATGATAAGACATGTGTGTTTGTGTTTTTTTTAATTACTGAATTGTGTGCGATGTGTTTTTATACAGCATGTTGAAATAGCAATGCATTTCCTGGAAGTGAAGGGTAGGCAGTATAACCTCCTGCAGATGTACACAACTACAACCCCTTACTTCTTGCAAGGGTTGTATAATCACCAAGCAATGGTAAATGTTGGCAAGGCCAAAAAGGAGGAAGTTGTCACTAATCCGAATCTAAGCAGTGAGGTGCTGGGGTTAGCACGGGCATATTCGAGGCCATGGTCTGAGTGTGGTTTTGTGTATATGCCCTTGAATACCGGTGACCACTGGATGTTGCTTGTCCTGGAAGTTGAAGGGAGGACAATACGGGTATACGATTCAAAAGGAAAGAAGGGAAAGAGTTGTCGGGCATTGAACGAATACATGCAATGTATCACCGAGTTGCTGCCTGTCATGCTTGATTTGTTGAGTGTATATGATGAGCACTCGGAAGGCCCAATGGGGAAAAAGAAGTTCAATATCGAGGTCGTTGATGGGTGTCCACAACAAGATGACGGGTATATGGTAGATTTTCATTTGGAACATAGCGACTAAAGTTGCATTTCAATTTGTTTGAAAATAGCCGGATGATTATTGATGTTAAGGATTATGTTTTAAACTGCAGGTGTAACTGTGGGATGTTTATGTTGAAGTTTGCAGAGTATCTAATGATGGATAGAAAAATTTCCAATGTTCATGCACACGACATGGAGGGGTACCGGGTTAAGATGACTACGGAGCTCATGGTATACAGTAACGAGCTGAAAGAGAAGGCCGAAGACAAATAGCCTTAGGGTGTGAAATTATTTGGAATGTTTCTGCATGGTCTGGACAGTTTTTTTTTGGGATGGGGGCAGTTTGTATTATGTGGTGTCTCAGGATTTGAAATGTGATGTTGTTTTTTGTTGAATGGGTGGTACGGTATTTTTGTCGTTTTGATTAGTTGTTTTTTTGTCTTTTGATACAGACATTGTGATGTGTTGTCCTTGTTATGGACTACGAACGACTGGTGTTTGAGTGTGGTTGTTACTTTAGTGTTGGTATTGTGTGATTGCCGTATTGGTTATTAGTGATTCGTTCATGTTTATTATTTGGTTTGGTGGTCCGTTACTGTTCTTTTTTGAAGTGTTGGTTGATTGGAAGTGTTAAATCGGTTTACATTATCTTTTGTGCTGCTTGGAAAACGATATGTGTGAGCATCTTTCCCCGTGTAGACTGGCGCGGAGGTTCACTACTATAAATGATCTGACACACTTCACATGTCTTGCTTGGTAGTGTGGGGAGTGTTGCACTTTTTTTTTGGAATTGTGGTATGGCAGTGTGTCGTATGGTTTCAAGTTTCTATTTGTGTTTGGTATGTTGTCCCGATTTATATGTGGGGTATGTTTTAAATACTATACTGCCATTGTGTGATTTGTTTCGTTTGGCAGTATGATTGATTGGAATGGGCTAACGGCAGTGTTTGGTTAGTACTCATGGGGTAACGGCAGTGTTTGATTGGAAGTACAGGGAAATGTGGTTGTTTGTCTGATGTTATTGGTTGATTTGGGATACACAGCCAGCATTATGACATTGTAGTAGTTTATCAGCATTCAATTTCAAGTTTCCCCCCCGTGATTTCAGTGGTGAATTTTTTTATTAGTGTTTTTATGTTGTTATTTAATTGGTGATATGTGTGTGTGTTGTGTTGTGTGTTATTTTTACACTTCCCCCGTATAGGGTAGTGTATGAGGCATGAATCTGTCAGTAAGGTAGGAGTTCCAGGTGCATGGTGTGTTTGTTGTATTACTTCCTTTGTTTTTTTAAAATGTATGTTGGCAGTGCATTCCATACGCATTTTCAAACTGAACTTGTTTATTGTACCGGTTAGGGAATTAAAACACAATGGCACCAAGCAAAAAAATGTGTACTCATTCAGGGTAATTTAAAGAATGTGTTATTTATCTTATGGGTAGTGGAAGGAAATTTGACGTGCAACGCATCCATGCAAACAAAAAAATACAGCCATTGTCATGTTGGTATTGGATTTTTGCATGTTTTTATATTATGTCCCATCTTCAAGCACCTGGTGCACTTCTGTTTTTTCCGACCTTTGCCCAAGTGGAATTCACCAACGGATGGCAACCTCCGCTTCTTTGGCCTCCCAGGTGGGCATTTGTTGCATGATGGGGGCTTGCAGACAAGGGCTTTGACAGCCGGCGGGATGTACCAGGTAGATTGGTCGCCTAATGGGTGCACAATACCGCTGTAGGTGGCTACCAATGATTCGCGTTTGTAGTATGGTGAGATGAAATTGTAACATGACAGTCCTGGACGAGATCCAATTGCTGCTACGGCGTGGACACATACAAAATGGTCCAACTGAAAATCACCGCATGTACACGACTTGTCTCTGAGGTTAACAACAAAAGTCCGGGACCACCTGTCAACAACCTCAAACTCGTATGGGGAAGCTGGCTTAACCAGTTGCAATAAGGGTTGTTAACCGTGAAATGTTACATGGAATGAATGAAAGTGTTGCATTTTTTTTATTATTTAATATGTATACTATTTAGGTGGTTAAGGAAGGTATACCTTCATCCTGAATGCATCACGTTGTAGTGTAATTAGCTCCGACTCGAGCTTCCTTGGTAGAATGGTTGTTGTAGATGAAGCTGTTTGAAGCCGTTCATGAAACCATTTCTGCATCCTTTCGCGAATGAAATCGACTAGCTTGCAAATGGGGTATTCGCGTGCCGAGTTGTTGACATTGTTCATTGATTCTGCAGCGTTTGAAGTCATTACGGAGTACCGGTATGGCCCACTTTTGCAACGTGCCCATCGTGGGTGACCTATTTTGGATAGGTATGCACGTATTCTATGGTCTTGTTCATCCAACATTTGAAGATACTCCTCGCACTCTGCCTCAGTAGCTCACGTGATGCTTTCCTAAACTTCCAGGTCAGGTCTTCTTTAGGACCTTTGAATTTGACACGCAGGTTTCGGGCAATGTGTTCTGTACAAAAACCATGACCTACATTCGGGAATACGTTCTGAACTGCATGAATGATTCCCTCATGGCGGTCAGACACAATATACAGATCATGCCTTGCGTTCAGGGTGGTTTTCAAATGAGTAAGAAACCACAACCAAGAGTCCTTGTCTTCTGCATCACATACACCAAAGGCGATGGGGACAAGCTGTTTATTGGCATCCTGGTAGCAAGCAGTTAGTAGTGTTCCTTTGTAATAGGATTTCATAAATGTCCCGTCAATAACGAGAACTGGGGAACAATGATTCCAAGCTTGTTTCCACGGGGCTAAAGAGAAGAACAAATATGAATCTCTGGTCGTCAGACGTAAACAAATGAATAGAAAAGCCTGGGTTCTTTGTCTCCAACATATAACATAGAGATGGTAGTAATTGGTAGGAATCTTCGTCCGAGCCATACAACTTGGTCAATGCCCTCTATTTCACGAGAAGTGCTTTCGTATATGACATCGCAATGCCAAACTCCCTTCGCATGTCGTCGCGTATGTCATTGGGGGGGTACTATTTTCTGGTTGCGTCGACATACCGATAGAGGACTAGATCGGCCAAGAATGCTGACGTTGCTTGTCTCTGATCACCTTCCCGGAAGTCAACAGGGCACGAATGATATGAATCAAACCTGCCACACAAAACAATCATATGACCGATGGGAATAGTGATTTTACAGCGAAGCATGGTGTGTAGTGATAGCGTTATAGGAATGTAAAGTTCTGCATTTTCATAATAGTGATGTTTTTTAAGTTATTAATGCCAGTGTGTGTACTCTGTTTTATGTTTTGACTAACAATTTTGGAAATGCAGTGGATGCTATGGCAGTGTTGTTGTCAACATCGTGGCTGTGGGGTTTTCCCACACTTGCTGATTTGTGCTGTGTATGAGCATAGGTTTCAAAATTGGACTACACGCGTCTGATAACATGAAATGATATGAAAGTGAGTGCACAGTGCGACACAGATCCCGTCATGTTTTCTAATGAGATTTGTATGCAATATGTGAAGTGTTTATGAGTGATAGTGCACAAATGTGTGGGGGACACTACCGAAAGATATTGGTTGCAATGGATGTAATTGGTTTGCAGAATTGGAACACAAGCATGCATATACTGGTTTTCATATTTAAGTGAATGCACACCGTGGGTCTGTTTATTATGTTAACATCCAAACATCTTTTAAGAAAATAGTATTTACCTGCGTATCTGAAATAAGGGAGAGTTGTCAAGACGAACGGCACGAACTGCCCATGGACACCGGACATCAATGCAGACAACGCGCAACAATGTCCTATTTGACCTCTTTGTCTTGTACTGGAAATTATTAGACACTGCATACATTCTGAGATGATGGCATAAGTCTTCCTTGGACTTGTAAATGCTGTCAATTTGAAGAGTGGTTGGGTGATAGTGTAAAATAACGTCCACCGAATTTGACGGGAATCTCCTCCGTTTAGTTCGGTTGGTTCGCTTGGTATTGTTTGAGGGATCAGAATTGGCATTTGAGAATTCATTTGGCATGAGTGACTGTAGGTATTGGCATTCAGTTAGTTCGCTTGGTTCGTATGAGGGATTGGCTTGGGCACTCAGATGAGTAGCTGTGGCAGTAGGCAAAACCTCCATGCATAATGGCAGATATGACAAGTCGGTTTGGTGGGACTTCAACTTCAGATAGAACAAAAGTTCAGCGTTGTCCACGATGACGATAGGCGGTGGACACAAGGCAACCATGTAGGAGAACCGAATTTCATTTTGAGTCCAATTCATTGAAATGTCTGCCTTGACAGTGTCCATGAGTGTTTTTAGTGAGGCTTCGCTACGGACATGAATAACAGTGTCGTATTTCGAAGTGAAATTTCCAAGATTGTCCCACGATCCATCAACGCGCAGCAATACCTTAATACTTGAATCCATGTGAACAAAGCCTTGAACAAAAGGAAATTGTGTATGGTTAGAGACCCAGATTTATTCAAATTGAAATACAATTAATTCGAGGGGCATTGTTAGGTCATAAGAATTAGTAGAATTGTAAATAGAAAAATCTGATCTTTTTCATTTAGAAGGAGCACTGCCTAATTAAATTGGCTTAAAGAGAAGTAGGGTTAACAATAGCTTAACAATGGAGAATAATAAGAACACAAACCCTACTCACGGATATGATAGATATAAGCAAATTCAGAAGGAACTTGACTGACCGGGGTTGGCTGGGAGCTGTGAAAGCTTCAGCCGAGTCTCCGCGGAACTCAATTGCAATGGTGTGATACTCTTGGGAATTGGATTGGGGAAGGTGAAGCCTACCGTGTATGATGTGGTACAACCGGCGATTCTCTGGTTTTGGTGGAGGAATAGTGAGGACCATCATTGGATCGTTGGAGAGCGTTGTAATAGGCGATGGGGTTGTAACGGCTGGTGATTAACACCCTCCTCAAATTGCGCAGGTGAAGGGGAAATGTCGGAAAGTGGTAACCGTAGGTTGAGGATAAAGAATGCAGGGTTAAATTGGGAATATTAGAGAGATGAAAAACGTTGGAGGTGCTAGAAATGTTGAAAATGGAATGGGAGTGCTATATATGTATTTTGTAATACTTAAAGGTGCTATAATGGATGATTTCTATTATGAGAAAGGTCAATTAAACCAATTTTGGCTCTATCAAAGTCAAACACCCAAAAATATGATGTCAGAAAAAGTATTACAAATAAATAT